AGTGGATCCCCCCCTCCTCCCCTGCCCTCCTGCCCCTCCTGCCCTCTCCCCATCTCTGAATTGGCCTCTCAGGCCTGCCTTCTCAGTGTCCTTCCCTCCACCTGACAGGGTCTGGCTCAAGGTCACTGCAGTAATTCCATACCGGGCTGCCCGGCCGCCACTGCCGCCGCCACTGCCGCCTTATCGGCTGCTGGGTTTCTGTTTCACTCCCTTTTATTTCTGGGCATATTGTGTTCGATAAAACCCTTTGCTTGTAACACCGCTGGCAGCGCTCCCAGCCGCTCCCTCCCGCGTTCCTTCCTCTCCTCCACCCTCCCCTCCAGGCTCCCTGGGCCTCACCCTGCCCCCTTCTTCCTCCCTACCTGCTTCCCTTGGACTTCAGGTGTTTCGGACCCCGCCCTTCCCCCAGCTTGGGCAGAGGTGTGCAGAGAAGGCTCCGTGCCCACCTCCCCGGAGAAAAGACCAGGCAGGGCTGCAGGGCCCCCACCGAGGGCCCCTCCCACTACCCCGGCGGCTGGAGGGCCAGGCAGCGCTCCTACTGGAGTCAGGATGCCTGACTGGTTCTGCTGGTTTCGGCAGCCAGCTCCGGGAGGGGCATGCTCTCAGGGCGGGCTTTGGGGCACAATTATTTCTCATCTTGACTCTTGCCACCTGCCAGCCCACCGGTTAGAGAGGTAAAGGCAGGTCTGAGTCACTGTGAGGGGGAGGGCAGGAGTTAAACAAGTGCTGGCCAGGGGCATCCCCTCAGAAGGCCGGCCGGACAGAAAGCGGGCAGACAGAAGGTAGGCAGCGCTTGCATGAAGCTCTCTCCATCCCTCCGGGTGCCCCGTGGGACCCCGCATTTGGGCAAAGCTCTCCCAGGCCCCTAGGCCCTGAAGAAAACTATGGAGGGAGGCCCGCGGGCCCCTGTGAAATGAGCCCAGTGTTGGCAGGACTGGGTGGAGGGTGAAAGGGGGTAAAACAAACTCCTTCTGACTCCCACTGAGCCCCAAGGCAGAGCTGAGAGGTGCAGCCTCTGTGGGTGCTGGTATTGGTGGGGTTCATTGGTGAAGTGGAGGCTCTGCAGGTCCAGGCAGCATGTGTGTGTGTGTGTGTGTGTGTGTGTGTGAGAGTATGTGTGTGTGAGTGTGTGTGCCCATGCCTGTGTGTACCCGTACCAGAGTAATGGTGATGGCAGGACTCTGGTCTGGGTTTCTGGTAGGGCTTGGGGAGAACACTTGTCTGACTTGGGCCTGGGTTCTCTCTCAGCAGATGGCCTGGTCCCGTGACTGTCAGGAGGGCATAGGGCTGGCCCTGCCCCCTGTGGCTGGGGTATCAGAGTTCTGCCCTGGGCCCTGGGCCTTGGGGCTTTGGGGAGCCCAGACTGGTCTTGACCTCAGGGAGCTTACTTTCTGGCTGAGAAGGTGGGGTTGAGACAGTAGAGCAATCCTATGAATTACAGAAGTGGTGACACTGACAATCAACACTGGAATAGTCTTCTGGAGACGTCGGTGTGAGTGCAGCTCCACCTCGTACGTGCTGTGTGGCTGTGGGCAGGCCGTGTCCCCGCTCTGGCCTCAGTGCTCTTGTGTGTACAGCGTGGGTGGTGGCGGCTAAATCTCTTTGAGAGGCAGCCTCTCCCAATACTCCTTCCTCCCGCCCGAGGCCCAGCTCACAGCATTCCCTCTGAGCCGTCCCTCCCACATCTTACTGGCTCACTCCTCCTCTCCCTTGGCTTCAGATCTCTGGTCTCACCTCAATGGTCACCTCCTCTGGGGAGTCTCCCCTGATTTTCCTGTGCTCCTCTGCACTCCTACGCCGGGCTGTGATTGTCTGTAGCCTCTCCATGGGGCTTAGGTGCACCAGGACGTGAGCCCTGTGTCTGGCTCAGAAGGCCCCAGGAAATAATAGTATTACATGGATCAAGCTACAAAATGAACAATATGAGGAGAGAAAAGTGAGGTCTGAGAAGTTGGAAGGGATAGGTCTTAAGCTAGATCCTGGCAGAAAGGGGAGAGGGAGCCAAGCAGAAGCGAGGCCAGTAGGCATACCTGGGGTGGGGGTGGGGGTCATTCTCATGTCCCCCAGTAAGGGTAAGGACTGGGGTGTGTCTGCCGGGGTTTATCCTAATTCCCCACTTACGAGCTCTGTGATCTTGGACAAGTCAATTAATCCGCTCGAAGCCTCATTTCTCCCCTCTGTGAACGGAGAGAATAATAATAATAGCATCTTGTAGTGTGATGGTGAAGATAAATGAGCATGCAAGGCTAGAAGTGCCTGCTAAATCATAACTAAAATAAGAAACATCACAATTGCCTGCTGAAGGCTGTTCCTGGCAGCAGGGACACCCTGCACAGGCCTTCAGGGGGTGACTGAGTGGCCAGCGGGGTGGGCCACTGCCCCCGAGTTTGCAACCCCCTCTCTTCCTCAGACCCATGTGGGACCCAAGGACACAGCCGCCCTGCTGAGAGCACGGCGGCCCCTCCTTGGAAACCGTGACCTCGCGGCGACGACGACGGTGGCCCTCAGCCCTCCAGGTCCGGCTGGGGCGGGGCGCGCCCATCTCCAAGTCCCCAGCCATGACGACCTCCGCGCTGCGGCGCCAGGTGAAGAACATCGTGCACAACTACTCGGAAGCGGAGATCAAGGTGCGCGAGGCCACCAGCAATGACCCCTGGGGCCCGCCCAGCTCGCTCATGTCCGAGATCGCGGACCTGACCTTCAACACGGTGGCCTTCGCTGAGGTCATGGGCATGCTGTGGCGGAGGCTCAACGACAGCGGCAAGAACTGGAGGCACGTGTACAAGGCGCTGACGCTGCTGGACTACCTGCTCAAGACGGGCTCGGAGCGGGTGGCCCACCAGTGCCGAGAGAACCTCTTCACCATCCAGACGCTGAAGGACTTCCAGTACATCGACCGCGACGGCAAAGACCAGGGCGTCAACGTGCGCGAGAAGGTCAAGCAGGTGATGGCCCTGCTCAAGGACGAGGAGCGCCTCCGGCAGGAGCGGACCCACGCCCTCAAGACCAAGGAGCGCATGGCGCTGGAGGGCATGGCCATGGGCAGTGGGCAGCTGGGCTTCAGCCGCCGCCAGGGTGAGGACTACGGCTGCTCGAGGGGCTCTCCGTCCTCCTACAACTGTGAGTGGGCCTTGGGTGCACGGCTGGGGACAGTAGAGGTGTCTGAGTTCCCATCGTGGCCCTCGGACCTCAGAGGGATGCCATGAGGATTATGTGAGATAAGGATGGTAAAGTGTGAGGCCAAATGCCCTGCACATAGTAGGTGCTCAGCAAGCTAGGGTAAACAATGATGTTGGTATGCATTTGTTGTTGGTGGTCGGTCACTGTCTGGTGGGACGGTGTGGGGTAGAAGTACGGGCTCTGGAGTCCAGGAACATCCCTTCCCCCGCCCCTTCCAGGTTGTGTGGCCTGCACAACCAGCTCTCTGAACCTCAGTGTCCTCACCCATTAAGTAGGGGTCACCTTGTCTACCTCAATTGTTTGATGTGAGAATGAGAGAGACCAGGCCCAGGAAGTCCTCAGCCCTTCACCCAGACACACGGCACACCATGCTCCATTGGTGGCATTCCCCATCACATACACACACACCTCAAGGGCCCTTTCCTTGAGAATGGGGGTGGCCAATGAGCACCCCCGACCCTCCTCTCCATCCTGGTGGGGGCTTCCCTGGTCCGAGATTTACTCAGAAGGGCCCTCCTTTCATAAAGCCCCCGGCAGTGCGCCGTGGGCTCTGAGAGCCGTGATCTTGGTTGGAGCATCTCACCCTCCCACCCCACATGACCTCAGGCTGGATGGGGTCCAGCTGGAAGAGTCGGGGGACCTGGGTTCAAGTCTTGCTGCAGGACTCTGAGCAGGCACCCCTTAGAGCTGTTGGGGGTCTGCAAAGGAGGGACTGGGATCTTTATGGGGTGGGATAAGAAACCTTACTCGGCCTGGCCCCCTGGGGCCCTCGGCTGCCTGCTGTTCTCTTTCCCCCATTTCCCTCTCTGAGCCTTCGTCTCTGGAGGGGAAGGGGTGTGGGAGCCCACGGGCACCTGTGTGGTCACAGAAGCCATGATGGTCATTGCAGCTTCCTCCTCATCTCCCCGCTACACCTCAGACCTGGAGCAGGCCCGGCCCCAGACGTCGGGAGAAGAGGAGCTGCAGCTGCAGTTGGCCCTGGCCATGAGCCGTGAGGAGGCTGAGAAGGTGAGGCCCCTGCCGGGAAGCCCAGGGGGCCCCCCAGCTGGGCTGAGGGTGGCATGGGGAGGGAACTGGAGGGGGAAGGAGAGGTGCCTACATCCCCACACCCTGACTCTCGGGCTCCCCTACTCTGGGCCCCAAAGCCCTAGTCCTGCTCCCAAGGACAGCACAGGGCCTGCCAGTCCCTGGGATTGTCCCTGCAGGGCCCACTTCCCACTTCCAGTGCCCTCTGGCTGGGCCTGGAAAGGATAGTGAGTGTGTCATGGGTTGGAGTAGATGAGTATGGTACGGGCCTGCGGCTGCCTCATAGAGGGGAAGGGGGTGCGTATGCTGACACACATTCCCAGGAGACACAGAGGCATGCCACCACCACCACCACCACCCCTGCCATCAGCTATCCTTTGGGGGGCGGGGCGAGGGGGGCAGGGACAACCACTATGCTACCTTCCTCTGTGGATCCGGGGAGACCAGACAGGAGTGGGGCCCGCGGAGACTCAGGGGGCCCAGAAGTAAAGGACTGAGCTTTCTCAGCGTGGAGAAGGCCACACCACACTGCTGCCTGGGTGGGCATTTCTCTCCATCCCTTCCCTGTGCAGAGCTATGTTGCCTTGGGGCCCAAGGGTGGGAGGGCTGGGCCAAGTTCACCTTTTTCTTCCTCCCTGGCAGCCAGTCCCCCCAACCTCCCTCAGGGATGAGGACCTGCAGCTGCAGCTGGCTCTCCGCCTGAGCCGGCAGGAGCACCAGAAGGTAGTGGGCTGAGCCTCCTGTGCTGGTGCTGGTGCTGGTGGAGGTGCTCATGGCGCTCATGGGGCACTAACCAGGCTCCTCCCGCTTCACCTGGTGGTCCCGCGGTGCCTAACCTCTCAGCTGCCTCCCGCCCTGCACTTTTCTCCACTCACCTCGGGTCCCCTCAAGTCCGCCCTGGGCTGCCCGCGCTCTCCTCACTCCTTCTGTGCCTTCTGCAGGAGGTGAGGTCCTGGCGGGGAGATGACTCCCCCATGGCCAATGGTGCTGGGGCTGGGAAAGAGAGCCTGAGAGAGAAGAGAGGAAGGAGGAGGAGAAGCTGAAAACCAGCCAGGTAGGGAGGGTGCTGGGGTGCGTGGGCTGGCAAGAGCCTGGGAGATAAACTGAGTTCATGTTTGTAAAGATTACGGAACAGTGCAGGGTATACAGTAAGCACGACCTAAGTGTTTATTCAAGGAAATGGGGGTGGAGGGGGTGCAGCAGTCCCGGGTTGGGTCCCACACTGCATAGGCTGGTGACCAAGCTGTTGGCAATGGGATGCCAAGAACCCTGATCAGAGACCCCTCGAGATGGGTTCTGGATTAGTTGTGACTTTGTGGCTGGGGCATGTCGTTGTCTTGGCCTCAGTTTCCTCCTCTGTGTAGTGGGCTTGTTGGGTAGTTCCAGCTCTGACTTACTAGGGTGCGGTGATGTGTGGATCACGACTGGGGGGTGGACTCAGGCATATGAGCTCATGCGCATATTCTTCAAGAGGAGGGAGTAGGTAGCTGCTGGAAACAAGGCCACCCTCCGAAGCTGTCCATGCTACCCCTGGGGTGTGTCTGCCCCTTTCCTGCTGGCTCTGCATGTTCACTGTGGCCAGTTTTCTCGTGGACACTTGGGGAGGTACGCTAGTCCTATGGCCAGCCTTACCACTGATGGGCTGAGGAGCAGAACAGTGAGGAAGGGTCAGATAGGCCTGGGTTCTAGCCCAGCCCTGTCTCTCCCTGGCTGTGTGACTTCAGGCAAATGGCTCCCCCTCTCTGGGGCTCAGCCGGCACATCTGTAAAATGGGCACAGCACCACCTTCCGTACCTGTTGCACAAGGTTGTCAGGAAAACCGGGCACTAAATGGACGAGGACAGAGGCAAGGGGTCATTACGAGGTGTTTGTGGAATGGATGGAGCCGGTGAGCTGGAGTCAGAATGACAGGTCAGGGCCTGCCTTCCTCTGGGCCCGCCCTCCTCTGAGCCATGGCTGCCTCTCCTCTCCACAGTCCTCCATCCTGGACTTGGCGGACATCTTCGCACCTACCCCTGCCCCGCCCTCCACACACTGCTCCGCCGACCCATGGGACATCCCAGGTGGGCATGCAGGGCTGCAAGAGCCTCCCAGGCTGGCCCCAGAGAGCCCCTTCCTTCCTGGCCACTTGCTGGCACCCCCTTTCCCGCAGCTGAGGGTCGCTGAGCGTCAGCTTCCCCTGTGGCACGGTGTCGTAGTGAGGGTGGGGGAGCACGTCTAGAGAACCCAGCTCCTGGGAAATGATCTCAGAAAGGTACCCCTGTGTCCTCTCACCCTGGCTTTCCTGTCCCAGCCAGTCCCTGCCTGGGACGTGGCCTGAGCTGCCCGTGCCCCGGAGTCCAGGCGCCTGGGACAGCTTACTAGATTTGGGCTCCAGCTTGCTGGGTGGTTGTGAGTCAGCACCCTGAATCTCTGAAAGGGATCCCTTAGCCTCGAAACTTGGCCCGGGTGACTGGGAAGGCCCAGGGTGAGCCTGGGGTCATGTCGGTGCTGTTCCCCTTTCAGGTCTCAGGTCCAACTCGGAGCCCAGCGGCTCCTCCTGGGGGCCTTCCGCAGACCCCTGGTCTCCAGTCCCCTCGGGAAGCATCCTGTCGCGAAGCCAGCCGTGGGACCTGCCCCCTACGCTTTCCTCCTCTGAACCCTGGGGCCGGACCCCAGTGCTGCCTGCTGGAGCCCCCGCTACAGACCCCTGGGCACAGAATTCCTCCCCCAGCAAACTCCCCAACGCTGGGGCTGACCCCTGGGGGGCCTTGGTGGAAACGTCCAACACCCCTGGTGAGTGAAGGGCCAGAGGGTGTGGGTGAGGGGCTGGAGGCCCTCTGGGTCCCCTTCTCTCCAGGGCCAAGGGGCAGCAGATCCTGTCTGGTAGGAGGGGTGATGGCCTGGGAAGAGGTCAGTCTAGTGCCTGCTCTTTCTGCCAGCCCATCTCACCTCTCTTTTCTTTCTGGGCTAGCTCTAGGTGGCACCTCGACCTTTGACCCATTTGCCAAACCTCCAGGATCCACAGAGACCAAGGCGGGGCTGGAGGGTGCCCAGGCCCTGCCCTCGGGGAAGCCCAGCAGCCCTGTGGGTAAGCAGGAGGCAGGCGATGGCACCGCTCCGGGGAACGAGGGTCCTGCCCCGAGCTGACCTCTGCCCTCTTCCTCCTGCCGGGTGACCAGCCCCTCTCCCGACCACCTGTATTCCAGAGCTGGACCTGTTCGGAGACCCCATCCCCAGTTCCAAGCAAAATGGTACCAAGGAGCCAGATGCCTTTGACCTGGGGAGAGTGGGGGAAGCCCTAACCCAGCCCAGCAAGGAGGCCCGCGCTCGCACACCCGAGTCCTTCCTGGGCCCCTCGGCCTCCTCCTTGGTCAACCTTGACTCCTTAGTCAAGACACCCCAGGCTGCAAAGACCCGGAACCCCTTCCTGACAGGTAGACACCCCTGCCCCCTGCAAGGTTTCCCCTGCCCCCCTCCCTCCGCCCCTCCTTTCAGAGCCCAGCCCCTGCCCTGGAATCCCTCTCTTCTTATTT